GAAACAATTCATGTTGGGGGGAGACACTCATCTACTGCCTCCCCGACACCAACGTTAAAGCGGTATTAAACCCAAAAATGTAATTACTGCAGACTGTCAATCGTTCGATGTAATGGCTGCATTAGTTTTATTGTTTTAGGCTTTTTTTTGCCCCCCTGGTGATATGGCTAGTAAAACACCTCTTGTATTAGAGTGCCCCCACTCTGGATGAAGGCACACGGGGGGCATCTTTGGACAGCAGCCTTTTTAACCTGGGGAAAGGGGAGTGGTAGATGTAGTAGCAGATTTAAATACACCAACAAACTCCAGCTCACGCTTTTAAAACAGGCCTCATTCACATCCGTGTGCAGAGACATCTGTTTTTATCCATGCATTCTGCAAGGGAACAAAAAAAATTATGCCCTGTTCACACCACAACACTATCACTTGCAAATGTTTTTCTGTGCAAGAATCTGCAAAATGTATAAAACTCACTGAAACGTGCATGAAAACTGATGTCTCTGCAAGGGCAACCTGCATATCAGTTTCCATGCACGTGTGGTGTGAATGAGTTGCAAGGGATATCTGCATGTCAGTTTCCATGCACTTGTGGTGTGAATGAGTTGCAAGGGCAATCTGCATGTCAGTTTCCATGCACGTGTGGTGTGAAGGAGTTGCAAGGGATATCTGCATGTCAGTTTCCATGCACGTGTGGTGTGAGTTGCAAGGGATATCTGCATGTCAGTTTCCATGCACGTGTGGTATGAAGGAGTTGCAAGGGATATCTGCATGTCAGTTTCCATGCACGTGTGGTGTGAAGGAGTTGCAAGGGATATCTGCATGTCAGTTTCCATGCACGTGTGGTGTGAAGGAGTTGCAAGGGATATCTGCATGTCAGTTTCCATGCACGTGTTGTGTGAACGAGTACACACAGCACAAATTTTATTTTAGGCTAAGCCTCCACTCACACTTGTACAGCTCCAAAGTTGCATGACTTTGCAGAGGGACAAGTCATTTCCAAGTCGCACCCATCCAAAATTGCAAAGTCGGACCCACTGTTGCATGTAAAACATTCAGGTACGACTTTAATGCAACTTTTGAAAGTTAACATTGAAGTCTATGACCCTCAAGTTGCATGAAAGTCAGACTAAAGTAGTGCATAAACTACTTTGAAGTCGTTGCAACTTTAAATTCGCACATATAAATGGCTATCATTGGAAAACAGGAGGTATGACTTGTCACATGACTTTGATGTCCAAAGTCTCATGACAAGTCGCACAAGTGTAAGGTTTTACATACATAAAAGCTGATCATTGTAAGCATGCCTGCCAGTGTTGAATGGTTTGGCTTCTCCCTGTAACTGCAAGAGTGCTTGTCCTATTGAAAAACAGAATAGCCAAACCATCAGATGAAAATAGAAGGAAACCTAAAGAAGAAACTTAAAACTAACGCAGCCATCACATCTAAGAATTGGTAAGCTTGCTTTTTGGGTTTAATATTCCTTTAATGGTATGCATTCTTGTGAAGTTATACCAGCCGGTCGGGAACGGTCAACAGACCAAGAGGTCCTTGAAAACCAGCCAAACTTTCCAGCAGAGCATTCACAGTCACAACAGCCTTCTAACGGTACACCATTACCGATTTACAAGAAAGTGTTAAAGTGAGAGGCGGCCGGGTCGGTCACTTGCTGGCTCTCTGGAAATTGGGAGAAATGGGGGAAACACATTACATTTCAGATATTTACAAAAATAATAAAAGCATTCACAGTGAAGTGTTCCTGGCACATATTACAGGCTGGCAAGTTAAATGCACCAACCACTATACCACCATATCATTCTGGTAGGGTGAAAAAGAAGAATGGCCACCAGAAAAGAAAAGTAAATTGCTCTCTAGCAGCACTGATGGCAGGTATGATTAAAAACTATAGAAGATCCTTCTGAATTGGGTATATGGACGGGTTTCAGACATCGTAAGTGGCACAGGTGGTGCTTACACTCCATGAGCCGGTGGAACACAGCTAAGTACAGGAGATACTGCGGTACAGCAAGTCCTCAACATATGAACCTTCAAATTGTAAACTTTCAAAGATGCAAACGTTTGGATGACTAATCATGCAAGTTAGTTCATGCGTCTGGTGTACATTGTCAGGTATGTGCATCCTCTACAAGTGGTTGTGATTTGTGTACAGTATAGAGTTCAGTAGTACAGTATCTATTTCAAGATTATATACCAATTACAGTAGAGCAGTGGTCTCTAAACTGTGGCTCTTTGCTTGCCCCTATCTGGCCCTTGGGGTACTATTCCTCCCACTGACACCAACAAGGAGGCACCATTTCTTTCACTGGCACAAATTATGGGGCACAATTCCTAACACTGATATAAACAATAAGGTACTATTCCTCCAACTAATACCAGCCATGGGGCACTATTACTCCCAAGGATATCAATGATGGGGCACTATTCCCCCCCCCTGGACACCAATGATGGGGCACTATTCCCTCCCCCCCGGACACCAATGATGGGGCACTATTCCCTCCCACCGACACCAATGATGGGGCACTATTGCCCCGACCCAATGCCCTGGGGCACTATCCCTGCCACCGACACCAATGATGGGGCACTATTCCTGCCACCGACACCAATGATGGGGCACTATCCCTGCCACCGACACCAATGATGGGGCACTATCCCTGCCACCGACACCAATGATGGGGCACTATTCCTGCCACCGACACCAATGATGGGGCACTATTCCTCCACCGACAGTAATGATGGGGCACTATTCCTCCTACGACAGCAATGATGGGGCACTATTCCTCCTACCGACACCAATGATGGGGCACTATTCCTGCCACCGACAGCAATGATGGGGCACTATTCCTCCCACCGACAGCAATGATGGGGCACTATTCCTCCCACCGACACCAATGATGGGGAACTATTCCTCCCACCGACACCAATGATGGGGCACTATTCCTCCCACCGACACCAATGATGGGGCACTATTCCTCCCACCGACACCAATGATGGGGCACTATTCCTCCCACCGACACCAATGATGGGGCACTATTCCTCCCACCGACACCAATGATGGGGCACTATTCCTCCCACCGACACCAATGATGGGGCACTATTCCTCCCTCCCACAGACACCAATGATGGGGCACTATTCCTCCCACTGACACCAATGATGGGGCACTATTCCTCCCACTAGTACCAATGATGGAGTATTATTCCTCCCACTAGTACCAATGATGGGGCACTATTCCTCCCACTAATGACAAGACACTATTCCTCCTCCCACTGACTACAAGCACTATGTCATTTTTATTTTATTCCTACTGATGCTAGGACATTGTCTACTCCCACTGGGCACTCCTAAAGTGTGAAGGACAGTAAAGCGGCCCTTTGTTCAGGATGTTTGGAGACGCCTGCAGTAGAGAGTACTGATATAGCCGACTGTTCGTTGGGTATTTAGGCTTCTTTGTTGGACTTAGAAACTGTCCTTCCGAACACTCAGACAGAACTTGTTCGTATGTAGGGGACTTACTGTATATGACGAGAGGGTTCTAGAAAAATATTAAACAGAATACAGTACAAAAAAACCCAATATTGGATTCTTAAATACTTCGCTAGGAGAAATGCATACAGATTTAATGACCTCTTCAACCCGAATTACATCAAGCCAAGGACTTGGTGAGAACAATGAAAAGGCACCCAGTTGATTGTTATATTAAGAAGTGAACGTTAGGACTCCAAGGACACCCAACAAACAACACTTTCCCATCAGCCGATATAGCATGTTTGGTTTATAAACCGGGGAGGATTAGTGCAAGAGTACACACCAAGCTGTCCTACAGGTCCGGTGGGAATGATCCGAGGAGCTTCCCTGAACATTTACAGGTCATGTGACTCAGTACTGCGCTGTGCACATCCTGTCCAAGCTATTTACGGAGTAAATACTATTATTGTAATTGCAACTCTGCTCGTTTCAGCGTGCTGGGGCCCCGGACAAGTCAAACTACATACTCCTAAAGTGCAAGTTTTAACATAATGGATGACTATCCATGGAAGGAATAGATTAGAATGTTCCCACAGGGAGCAGTATGCTGCATTCAATAACCACATAAAAGGATGAACAGTAAAAAAAAAAAAAAAAAAAAAAAAACACACAACAACACACTGCTGTATGCTACAACCTAAAACAAATCTATAAAGAAACGAAAAAGACCAGATTTGGCCCACAATCAACTAATCAGCTAAGCAAAGTGTTCCTTTAAAACAAAGCAGAGCATTATAATATAGTAATATACTGGGGATAAACTAATTATCTAGCTACCTGTGAGCTTCAATTACTTATGTTTTAATTAAGCTATACATTGTACATATGCAGCCATTAGCTGGGAGAAGAAGAAAAAAAAAAAAAAAAGCTTGTCGGGAAACATTTTTATAGGACAGCATCAGTAAAGGTTCAACAAAAACATGTGGCCCCCATATACTGCTCCGAACAATATTTTATACATAACTGACACAGATATTTGATAATGTATATGCGGGTATTTTTTTGGGGGGGAAATTGGGGTGGATGCCTAAGAAAAAAAAAAAATGGCCCCTCTTTACCAACACAAAAAAAGGAACCCTTTAACCACTTGCCTACAGGGCACTTATACCCCCTTCCTGCCCAGGCCAGTTTTCAGTGCTGTCGCACTTTGAATGACAATTGCGCGGTCATGCAACACTGTATCCATATGAAATGTTATTTTTTTTTTTTTAGATAGAGCTTTCTTTTGGTGGTATTTAATCACCTCTGGGTTTTTATTTTTTGCTAAACAAACCAAAAACTGAATATTTTGAAAAAAAAAAAGTTTTTTAATTTTTGTAATAAAATTTTGTAAACAAGTGATTTTTCTCCTTCACTGATGTACGCTAATGAGGCTGCAGTGATGGGCACTGATAGGCTGTACTGATGGGAACTGATAGGTGGCACTCATGGGCACGGATGAGGAGGCACTAGTAGGTGGCACTGATGGGCATTGAAAGGCAGAACTCATATGCTGCACTGATAGGCAGCACTGACAAGTGGCACTGTAAGGCAGCTCAGATGGGCACTGATATTGTGGCATTGATATGGCACAAATGGGCACTGGCAGGAGGCATGGATGAGCACTGACAGCTGGCATTGATGGGCACTGACAGGTGGCACTGCTGGGGCTACACTGATCATCAGTGCTCTGATGATCAGTGTAGATGTCCCCTCCAAGGAATGCCGATAACCGGCTCTCCTCTCGAGCTGTCAGTGCGACAGCACGTGAGGAGAGAAATGCCGATAACCGGCATTTCCCTATTTACATGTGATCAGCTATGATTGGACACAGCTGATCGCATGACCGAGCCGACATCTTTGGCTCTTTCGGTTGATCGGTGATCCGCTGTATCTGAGGGACACAGCGCACTGCCAATCGCCGCGCTGCGCACTCCCGGAGCTGCGCATGTGCGGTTAGAGTGTGAGGGTGTCATATGACGTCCTCCCAGAACGAGAGAATCGCCTTGCGCCCATCATTACCTTATATGGCAGGCGAGAGGCAGTTAAAGTGTTACTAAACCCTGAACCCTGCATTCACTATATCTGCTCTCCCACAGTGCACGGAAATGCAATTATTTTTAGTAACTATAAACTGATAGAAGTCACAAGATTGCTAAATACTGCTGAGAAAAGGTATTTAGCAGTGTCCAGCTGAGCACTGGTTAATCTTGTAGGAGTTTTCATTCTCCTCTTACTGTCCTATGAGGCTGTATGACCCTGACCCTCTGTCTGGATAGCGCTGATTGGTCCTGTGCTGATCACATGCAGAAGAAAAACTCTAGCAATACACAACTAACAGAGCACGTGCAGACTGGTCACTGCTGCTGTAACTATGGCAGATGGATGGGGGACAGTAGGAGAGGAGGATCAGAGAAGACAGGATCAAACAGTGTTTTTTTTTTTTTGTTTTGTTTTTTAAACACAATGCAGAGGATGAACCCCTTAGGTTCCAGAGTATGTATAACAAGCATGCTTTACTGCACACACAGACTGACTTTACTGTTGTGGGTTTAGTAACACTTGTGGCTTTAGACAACAGCTACTGTATGTATGCTATCAGAGAGAAAAGTCATGTATCAATCAGAAAACTTGCCAAGTGTACTGCTTACTTTTATCCTGATTAATTCTCCTTTAAATAAGGAGAATAAGTAAACGTCTGTCAGTAGAAGCAGTGTAGCACATTGATAAATACCACCAATAAAGAAAGCGTGGCTTTATGTTATGTTACAAATTGATATCTTGCATGTACTGTACATGCCTACTGTGGTTGTTAACCTTAAGAATCATTCACTGAAAGCATATGAAGGCTAAAAAAATTCACTTTTTATTTACATTAAAAAAACAAACAAAAACACACCACAAACCACACAGATCCTGGCAGAAGCCCAGTGTGCTCTGATCTCATCCCAAGCAGTGTTATTAGTCCTGCATGTGACAATAGTGCGGTCTGAGCCCCAAACTGTGTGGAAACCATGAGGGAAGTCATACTGAACACAATGCCCATCTAATTCTCTCAAAAATTCACAAGTGGTTGGTTGACAAAAACTGTCATTTAAATCTCCTGTCTGCTTTAGCGGCCATGCTCAAAATGTTCTAATGTACATATGACAACACAGGCCAAGTAAGTACAAAAAAGTACTAAAGTATATAAAATGTCAAACCTCAACCTGCACTGTCTTCAGAAGACTCCCAATGAGACCCCCATCATAAGTTGGCCTGTTGTAAACAGTCTAAAGCCCCATACATACGATGAGAATATCGGACGAACGATCGCCTGTTTCTTTTCCCGCCTGCTAGTCTCACATCAAAAAGTGAAAACGTTATTAAAGATGCGAAAATTCTCCTATAAAAGAAAAGAATTTTGAAAGTGATGTCATGTATTGTATTTTCAGACGACTACTGTACTAATGAATGATCTGGTATCGTACAAGAAAGATTTTTGCACTTGTCCCTTCGGATATTGTCGCACAAAATTGTCGTGATCGGCTCTCAAAAAACGCTGTGTACCAACGATCCGATTATCAGATGATCGATCCTCGTACAATATTCTTATAGCATGTACGGGGCATTAGTGTCCTTTCACATGGGCGTTTCCATCTAGATTAGTCTGTCAGATGGATCCAGACTAAGAACCAGTTCACACTACATGCGTTTCAGTGTGGTTTTTTTCTGCATCCGAAAACGCACAGAAAGTAGATTGTATGGTTGTCAATGTCAGTTCACATCAGTGTTTGCAGTTCCTGTGCATTCTGGATGGAGGAAAAAAAAAAAAGTAGAACAGGCTGCATTTTTCCAGCACAGAACTGTACTGGAACATAGTAAAACACAAAAACGCACCAAAACCGCATGTCCGTATTTACATTGAAGAAAAAGAGGGGAAATAATTAATTGGAATGCATCAAAAACATGCCAAAAAGGCATATTTATTTATTTCAGGTACTTATATAGCGCCGTTAATTTACACAGCACTTTACATATATATTGTACATTCACATCAGTCCCTAACCCTCAAGGGAGCTTACAATCTAAGGTCCCTAACTTACATTCATACACATATTAGGGCCAAATTAGACAGGAGCCAATTCAAGTACCAGCATGTCTTTGGAGTGTGGGAGGAAACCGGAGTACCCAGAGGAAACCCATGCAGGCACAGGGAGAACATGCAAACTCCAGGCAGGTGGTGCCATGGCTGGGATTCGAACCAACAACCCTAGTACTGCCAGGTGGAAGTGCTAACCATTTAGCCACTGTGCTTCCCATATGCATAAATGCATCTGAACTGTGTGATTATCCATTTACATCCACCTACATAGTGTCTATTCAGGTGCATTTTTCCCCCCCAGAATAAGATTGCATCCTTTTCCATTTAAACTTGCTAGAAGTACTATTTCACTCTATGAGGGAAATCACATTCTATGGGCTCACGTGACTCTGTCCTATGCTACTTTGGTGAACTGGAATAAACCACATACAAAATGCAACCAAAACAGTGAATACCGTAAACATGGACAGTGTTCAGAGCCTTAGGGATCTGAGAGATGGGTGCCATTTGTTTACATTCGGACTTTTTATGTCCATTTTTTGGAAAGAAACATTTTGTTTGTTTGTTTTGGGCACTGCCCGCCATAAAAAAAAAAAAAAAAAAAAAAGATTACACGGATGTAGGCTGGGGTCACTGTAGGGGGCGGACTGACCATGAAACTTGGGATGCCCGAGGGCCCCTAGGGGGCCCCATGAGATGCCCCTGGTACCTTTTTCATAGGCTTTTTTGAGTTTGGGCAAGGACACGGGCCCCATGATCCCCTATTGCCCGGGGGGCCCCATGAGTTGTCAGTCCGCCCCTGACTGAATCCATTTTTTCTTAGCAAAAACATAACTGGGAGGACACCCGGGTTAAAGGATCCCAGGATAGCAGCCCAGAATTACATATTTATCAAAGTGGGGGTCGTAACCTATACTGACCTAAAGATTAACTACACAGTGTTAAATTCCATAAATTGTCCATAATTCTTAATGTAATGAGCTATCTTCATCAAAAAAGAGGTTATGCTAACAGGTAAAAAGATAGCAAACAAGGTTCAAAGACTAAAGTCTAGGTTCACACGTGTGCGGGTGGTTGGCGCTGGAGGACCACACCTGTCCCGCATCCATAACCACCCGCAGGTAAAAAGGTGCTGCAGTTTAGGAGATGCGTGGATGTGCGACTCATCCGAATGGCACCCCCATGCACTGGAAACCACAGTACGGCTTCCCACAATTGGAACCACACTGCATTTATGGCTTCCATGTGGTCAGTGTTTTCAGAAAAAAGGTACCAGGACCCTTTAACTGTGTTTTCAGGAGGCAGAGCAACCTATTCCAATGAATGGGCTGTTGTGTCCCACACAAAATGCAGCTCGCAGAACCGCTCAAGTGTGATCCTAGCCTAAGACACAAAAAGATGCTTCCAATCTATATCTTTATGTTGGATATCCAACAAGTTGTAATTTGAATGTGTTACATATGCTGATTTTCAAACTGTAAATACTTGTTATATGGGAATCTAGACATGCCCAGGATAAATGGAATTAGGGTGTGTCTGCTGGCATTATAAAAAATACTTCAGCACACTTTCAGAACACCACTCACACCATCAGATTGGGTAGAAGTCAGCTCTATGACCCCCTCCCTTCAGAAAGGGGGAACAAAAAAACAAAACAAAAAGTGCACTGAGCTCTCATTGGACATCAAATCACCACCAGGATACTGGGAGTCGCGTTTAGAAGGACAAATCCAAAAATCAGGCAGACTGTAGTTTGTAGATCTTCCCTTGGATGCCATAATGCGCTCCTTGGGCATTAGAGGATCCAGAAGCACTTAAAAAGGGGAGTAATATTCCAAGTTTCAGACAAGGTGAGGAAGGGTTAAAACATGTCAGGTGTTTGCTGCTATGTCCCTATTTCAGAGATTTTACTTAAGCCTTTGTCTCCCTCACTCCCCATTAAGGATTGGCACAGAATTTGACAGTACCCGCTCCCACTCCGGTTAGCATGTTGTCCTCCCCGTAGTCTTCTAAGACAAGCGACAGGTCCCAGAAGACTACAGGCCATTCACAAAGTGCAGCGCTTCTCACGAATGCGCATTGGGCACCCAGGAGTGAAGCTGCAAACTGTCACAGCCGGGTGCCTGAACTGAAGATGCCGGCACCAGGGAGAGGAGACGGCTGGTGAAACCAGCGGTGGTGAGGACACCACTGGACCAAGGGACAGGTAAGTGGCTGTATTTTAAAAGTTAGCAGCTACAGTTTTTGAAGCTGCTGACTTTTTTTTTTTCCCCAGGTGGAACGCTTTAACTTCACCAGCTCTGGGGCAAAGGGGAATTTCTCCAATGGAGACATAGACAATGAAAGCAAATTTTATTAGTAGACTGAAGTATATTTAAAAGCACGGTTAGGGTTTTGCTGCTGAGTTCCCTTCTTTGAAACGCAGTTATGTGTTTTGTGTGTTCCCATTCGCACGCAAAAAAAAGAAGAAAAAGGGAATTTCTTAGCCAAGTTGAGCACAAAATATACCAACAGTCCCGTTCGGGAGTACTGTAGTCAATCACTAGGTCAACTCCTCTTGAGTGGGAACAGCCATACAGGAATCAAAATTCCACCAGTTCCTGCTGAACTGCCAAACTTCTTGAATGTGTGGATGAGTGCATCTGTCCATCCAGGTTTTATGCTCTGATGAACAGGAAGTAGTGTTGCACCCAAAACGCATTGGATATTTTTATATAACTTATTTACCAATAATTAAATGTATTACTCTCATCCAATTTTGA